CTCATGACCAGCCCGAGAGTAACTCATAACCAGCACGAATAACCATGAACCACACGAAGAAAAACCAGAACCACAGAAGTAACTCATAACCGCACGCAGTAACTCTGAACCAGCACGAAGTAACCATAACCACACGACAGTAATCATGAACCAGCCGACAGTAACCATAACCAGCACGACAGTAACCTGAACCAGCACGACAGAACCATAAACCAGCACGAAGAACTCATGAACCACAGACAGAAACTCATAAACCCAGCAAGGAGAAACTCATGAACCACACGGAGAAACTCATGAACCACACGACATAACTCATGAACCAGCACGAGAGTAACCAGAACCAGCACGACGTAACTCATAACCTCACGACAAAACCTTTAACCGCACGCAGTAACCATGAACCAGCAACATAACTCATGAACCACACGACAGTAATAAAAACCAGCCACGAAGTAACCCATTAACCAGACGAGAGTAACTCATAACCACCGAATAACTCAGAACCACACGACAGAAAACCATGAACCACACGACAGTAACTCAGAACCACACGAGAGTAATCATGAACCAGCACGCAGTAACTCATAACCAGCCGAAGTACTCATAAACCAGCACGACAAACCAGAACCAGCACCAAAAAACTCTTCCCCACACGACATAACTCATGAACCAGCCAGAGGTACCAAACCAGCACGAGAAACTCATAACCAGAACGAAGAACCATGAACCAGCACGACAGTAACTCATGAACCAGCACGAGATAACTCTGAACCGCAGGGACAGTACTCATGAACCGCGCAGTAACTCTAACCCACATGCAGTAACTCATAAACCCAGCATGACGTAACTCATAACAGCATGACAGTAACTCTGAACCGCAGACAGAACCATGAACCAGCCGAGAGTAACCATGAACCACACGACAGTAACCTAAACCCACACGAGAGTAACCCTGAACCACACGACGAAACTCATAACCACACAGAGTAACTCTGAACCACACGACAGTAACTCAGAACAAGAAGTAACTCATGACCAGCCGACATAACTCATAAACCAGCACGAGAGTAATCAGAACCAGCACGGGGTAAACTCATAACCCCACACGACGTAACTCATGAACCAGCACGACAGTAATAGAACCCACGAGAGTAACCAGAACCAGCCGAGAGTAACTCATGAACCAGCAACATAATCATGAACCAGCACGAAAAAAAACTCATGAACCGCACGACAGTAACCATGAACCAGCCGACAGTAACTCATGAACCAGCACAAAAACAGTAACTATGAACCAGCACAGAGTAACTCATAACCAGCACGACAGTAATCATGAACCAGCACGAGGTAATCATAAACCCCACAAGCAGAAAACCAGAACCAGCACGACGTAACTCGGGAACCACACACTAACTCATAAACCCAGACATAACTCAAACCACACAGAGTAACTAGAACCGCAGGGGAAGTAACCATGAACCAGCACGACAGAAAACTCAAAACCAGCACGGAGTAACCATAACCCAGCACGAGAGAAAACTCAAAACCAGCACGACAGTAACTCAGAACCGCACGACAGTAACTCATGAACCACACGGGGAAAACCATAACCAGCACGACAAAAAACATAAACCCAGACGACAGTAACTAGAACCAAAAAGGGTAACTCATAACCAGCAGACAGTAACTCATAAACCCAGCACGACAGTACTCATAACCAGCATGAAGTAACTAAAACCCAGAAAGCATAATCATAAAACCACATGACAGTAACTCATGCCCAGCATAAGAAAACTCATGAACCAGATGACAGTAACCTAACCAGCATGACATCTCAAAAACCCACACGACATAACTCAAACCACTGACGAAAATATGAACCGCATGACAGTAACTCATAAACCCACAGACATTAAATTCATAAACCAGCACGACAGAACTCATGAACCACACGAGAGTAACTTAAACCAGCACGACAGTAACTCATGAACCAGCCGACATAACTCTGAACCAGCATGACAGAACTCATGAACCCACACACAGAAAACCATAAAACCAGCACGACATAACTCATAAACCCAGCACAGTAACTCAAAACCCAGCACGACATAACTCATGAACCACACGACAGAAAACTCATGAACCCCCCCACGACAAACTCATAACCCACACGACATAACTCTGAACCCACGAGAGAATCATGAACCAACGACAGAAACTCATAACCCAGCACAGAAACTCATAACCCAAAGCCACAGTAACTCATAAACCCACGAAGTACCTAAACCCACCGACAGAACCCTTGAACCAGCGACAGAACCATGAACCCACAGAGAAACTCATAACCGCACAAACAGTAACTCTGAACCAGCCTAAGAAACTCATGAACCACAGACAGTAACTCATAACCAGCAAACAGAACTCATAAACCAGCACGAAGTAACTCATAACCCAGACGACAGTAATAAAGAACCAGCAGACAGTCTCATGAACCACACAGAGTAACTCTGAACCCAGCACGAGAGTAACTCTAAACCACACGAGATAATCATGAACCACAGACGTAACTCTGAACCAGCACGCAGTAACTCGAACCACACGACGTAACTCTAACCAGCACTAGAGTAACTCAAACCAGCACACGTAACTCAGAACCAGCACACATAAACTCAGAACCACACGCCCATAACTCAGAACCACACGACAGTAACTCATGAAAGCAGACAGTAACCATGAACCGCAACAGAACTCATAAAAACCAGCCGACAGAAAACTCATGAACCAGCAGACAGTAATCATGAACCACACGACAGTAACTTAACCAGCACGCAGAACTCGAACCGCACGAGAATGAAAAAACAGTAGGAAAGTTGAAGTGAGCCAAAAATACTGAGAGCGAAAGAAGAAAACGTGCCAGGGGGAAAGCACGGGGGGGGCAAAGGTGGAAAAAACAATTTTGCAATTTTGATGCGGATAAAGGTACTTCAGAACAGGGTTAAAGAAACTACAAGGAAAGTGAAAACAACAAAAAAACAATGTAATGGAAGGTGTGAGCAAGAAAAAATGCAAACGGTTGATTGCCTAAACCAACTAAGTTAAGGGGACGTCAGATGGGGACATTAGAGAAGGGCATGTATTTAGAGAGGTTAGAACACAGGAAGACGTGCAGAACAGTGTTTGTCAACTCAAGTACTTTGAATACAACATTAGAAATGGGTCATTTTTTACTGATTTAAAAAATAAATCTGCCGAGAGACATCCCGAGGAAGAAATAAACAAGGAAGGGGGATAGAAAATGGAAAACCCCTCTTTAATGTTTTTTCTCATTCTGGTTCATCCTCTTTTCTAACAGGTGTGAAAAGCGGTATTACTTACTCAATAAAGGCGTACTTACCCAGCAATGTGCACCACAAGCGTGAGGGGAACAGGGAACCGCACTTAAGGAAAGGGGTCATTTTGTGTGATAAAGACAGAGTCTACAGGGATACACTGTTCAACTTTTTTTTTTGAAAACCAAAAAACACCTGTCAACTTCCCAAAAATAAACATGGCACTTGCACCTAGAAGTTCACAAGAAATTCTTCCTACAGTTTAAATTGTCACCCACAAATATTACATAACCAGGAGAACCCCCTTGGGAGAAGAAACTCAGACCACCTGAAGGGTAACCTGAAGGTTCAGGCGTTTTTGGAACAGTGTTTGTTGTTGAATCCTACAACAAAAACTGAGTGTGTAGTAATTCCCAAAATTATTGAGCGTTATCACCCTTGTTGTTTTTTTTGTTATCTCCCCCCTCCTACACACACAACACAACACACGCCGCAGGGGCTGCCAAGCATGACTCACATTGCAACCACATATAATAGGGACAAGGGGTTTCCCGGAGGGCAAATAAAATGTCACTAGTTTGTTTTCTGTTTATTCCTTCAATATACTTTTAACTAACAAAGTAAGTTGTTTTCAAACATTTTTAAATCCAAAAATGTGATAGAGCCCCAGTCCACTGTGTGGTACTGAAAAGCGTGAAGACAATTTTGGTGCACTCCTTAACAAGTTTATTTATCACAAAGAGTCCCAAGGGCACCATGGTCACCAGCTCCCCAGCAGCAATGGGCTAATACACAGTGGGGGGCCTCAGCACTACAGGAGGGTCACGGGAAATAGTGGAAGCCGTCAGCGTTCAACAGAAGACAAAATTTTTAGCTGCCCCCAAACTGGCCCAAAACTCTAACTTCACAAAACCCCCGAACGGGGCCCCAAAAACACATGTAATTAAAATTTTGGTAATTATGACATTATTTTCTTTTTTTAAAAAATAAAATTTTTTAAAACTGCCAATTTAATTAACCCCAAAACAAATTTTTGTAAAACAAGAAAACAAATTTATTAAAGTAATAAAAAAAAAATTTTCTTAACAAAAGCAGTTATGTAATACAAAAAACAATTTTTTTTTAAAAATTTTTAAACAAAATTTTTTACCCGAGGAAGTTTTAGAATTTTACTTATTTTAACAAGAAAAACTATGAAAGTAAAAACGCAACAGTCCTGTTGATGAAGGACGTACCCGGGGCGGGTTTTACCGCAGTCCCAACCCGACCCCTCTGGGCCCGCGTCGGGGCCTCCCCCAGAAGGAATGACCCGGATCCCGCAAACATAACACTGAACGGATCCCCACAACACAGTGATCCCTGCAACACACAGCAAGTGCTGCAACACGCAAGTGAACAGTGATCCCTGCAACAACAACAATTGAACAATGATTGCTGCAACATAGTGATCAGCGATTCGTGCAACACAAGGCAAGTGATCAGTGATCCCTGCAACACACAGCAAATTATCAGTGATCCCTGCAACCCAGAGATCAGTGATCCCTTCAACACACTAGAAGTCATGGTGCTGGTAGAGGTATATACACTAGACTTACCTTCCTGGTCCTGGTAGAGGGATATATAGTACTCTTACCTTCCTGGTGCTGGTAGAGGTATATGTACTAGACTTACCTTCCTGGTGCATGTACAGGTATATAGCTCTCAGTTGTTCAATGTCAGTAACAGCAGCCAGCTCCCCTGACATGTCATGACAAGTCTGACGTGACTCCTCCCACGACTCTTCCACCCACGTCATGAAGGAAAGAGACAGAGGCCGCCCACACTCACGAAGAAGGAGGGACACTCCTGCACCTCTGCCACTGGTGCTACTGCTGTCATGTTGTGGTCTTATATACAGATTAACAGTAGACGACTTTACTCTTTTTGTTACATGTACAATATTTTTTCATATATAGATCACGATTCATAAAATAATAATTACTTGCAGTATCTTGTGGTGGTTGTTCACATATTAGCGACAACAGACTAGAGCAGTTTGCATCATTCACGTAAAACAAATATACACTGGGCATCTCCAAGCAATTTTCATCATCGTTATCGTTATTTGGCTCCTGGAACTCAGTATCCGCCTTCCAGAATGGTGTACCCATGGGTATAGACAGACCCGAGGAAGTGCGCCAGTCCCCCTCACTGTCTTAGTCACTCCCGTCATTCCAGTACGTTCTGTCAGTCAGACCTGAGGTGGCACATAGAACTGTGACTGTCCTGTCTCCACTATTTACGTATTACTATAGCATAAATATGTACCAAAGTACATATTTATGCTATGGTAATACGGAGATCACCATACATTTATACTTAAAATCAAATGACAGAAACAAATTAGGTGTTATAGGTTCCTGTAATCCCGCAAAAAAAAATATTTAGGTTTATCCAGTTTATCCAGTTGAAGTTGTCTCCCTGGAAGTACTTACCTTGGGAGGTCATACACTGCTCTCACCGCCTCTGCCACTTCTCGAAACTTTTCTGGAACTCTTCTTTCGTGACGGAATTTAACACGGCATGTGATTCTGCTTGAATCTTCACCAAGCAGTTAAAATTCTTTCCTTGAGAGCCAGTTACATTATGGGAACAGAAAGAAGTCACGAATATTACATCTGGGGAGTTGGGAGGGTGAGAGATGTAGTCTTGAGACGACCAGTAAGAAATTTCCACAGCACTTGCAATGTCCTGGTAACTCTGACGACGATCTTCATGAATAACCCTCTTCATTTTTTCAATGTTGATGCTTGGTAATGTTGATGGACAAGCAGAACATTCATCATCTTCAACTAACGTTCCTCCTCCTCTGAATCGAAAAAAAATCATTCAAAACAATGAGTCCGACCCATCGCTTAGTCAACAAATACTTATTGACCATCTTAACACAGAATTTCACAAACATACGCAAAAAATCAAAACAACGTACTGAGCAGACGACAAAAAATGACCATTAAATTTCAACGGAATGACCGACCGCACTGAAACTCGCCACGCTGCTTCACAAAGGAGTGTATTGTGCAACCCGATCTACGCCGCTGGCAAATTTCACTCAGGAAACGAGCGAGAATTTGAGCACGGGAACGTTTTGATAAAACCTCGTATTCTGATGTTGTATAAATAGATAAAAATTTCAAATACATCTTTATTTTGAAATTAAGAGTACATATAGTTAGCTGCTGGGTCTGACGTTGACCAGTCGCCTGGGTCTGACGTTGACCAGTCGCCTGGGTCTGACGTTGACAAGTCGTCTGGTCTGACTTTAGTCAGTCGTTTGTGTCTGACGTTAACCAGTCGTCTGGGTCTGACATTAACTAGTCGTCTGGGTTTTTCCTTGACCAGTCGTCTCGATCTGACGTTAACCAGTCGTCTGGGTCTGACATTAACTAGTCGTCTGGGTTTTTCCTTGACCAGTCGTCTCGATCTGACGTTAACCAGTCGTCTGGGTCTGACGTTCACCAGTCGTCTGGGTCTAACTTTGGCCAGTCGTCCGAGTCTGACGTTGACAAGTCGTCTGGGTCTGATGTTAACCAGTCGTCCTGGGTGTAACGTTGACCAGTCGTCTCTGTCTGACTTTGGCCAGTCTTCTGAGTCTGACGTTGACCAGTCGTCTGGGTCTGACATTGGCCAGTGGTCTGGGTGTGACGCTGACCAGTGGTCTGGGTGTGACACTGACCAGTGGTCTGGGTGTGACGCTGACCAGTGGTCTGGGTGTGACGCTGACCAGTGGTCTGGGTGTGACGCTGACCAGTGGTTTGGGTGTGACGCTGACCAGTGGTCTGGGTGTGACGCTGACCAGTGGTGGGTGTGACGCTGACCAGTGGTCTGGGTGTGACGCTGACCAGTGGTCTGGGTGTGACGCTGACCAGTGGTCCAGCCAGTACATTATTGTAATAACAATGGCATTTATTGCCTTTACTTATTATTTATGGAATATTAGAATTATTCAAGAAGAATTTCCTCTGTCATGTCAGTTATTATTTATGGAATATTAGAATTATTCAAGAAGAATTTCCTCTGTCATGTCAGTTATTATTTATGGAATATTAGAATTATTCAAGAAGAATTTCCTCTGTCATGTCAGTTATTATTTATGGAATATTAGAATTATTCAAGAAGAATTTTCTCTGTCATGTCAGTTATTATTTATGGAATATTAGAATTATTCAAGAAGAATTTCCTCTGTCATGTCAGTTAGAAGTTCATGTTAAGCAAATTAAATAATTAAAATTTAAAAGTTGCTGTAAATAAGTAGAATAATAATTATATCTGATATAATAATAACTATATCTTCTATAATAATAATTATATCTTCTATAATAATAATTATGTGCTATAATAATAATTATGTCTTATAACAATAATTATATCTCTTATAATAATTATCATATGTTTTATTAATATAATAAATGACGTCATCGTCATCAAGTTATCAGTTAATTAGGACCACTGAACACTGTCAGTGTAGGCAGTTCTCTACACTGACAGTACACACAGTCCTCTACACTGACAGTACACACAGTCCTCTACACTGACAGTACACACAATCCTCTACACTGACAGTACACACAGTCCTCAATACTGACAATACACACAGTCCTCTACACTGACAGTACACAGTCCTCTATACTGACAGTACACACAGTCCTCAATACTGACAATACACACAGTCCTCTACACTGACAGTACACACAGTCCTCTACACTGACAGTACACACAGTCCTCTACACTGACAGTACACACAATCCTCTATACTGACAGTACACACAGTCCTCAATACTGACAATACACACAGTCCTCTACACTGACAGTACACAGTCCTCTATACTGACAGTACACACAGTCCTCCATACTGACAGTAAACAGTTCTCTATACTGACAGTACACACACTCCTCTATACGGACAGCATATACAGTCCTCTACACTGACAGTACACACAGTCCTCTATACTGACAGTACACATAGTGTTCAATACTGACAGTACACACAGTCCTCTATACTGATAGTACACACAGTCCTCTACTGACAGTGCACACTGCACAAAGTCTTTTACACTGATAGTGCACACAGTCCTCAACACTGACAATGCACATACTCCTCTACACTGACGGTGCACACAGTTTGCTACATTGAGAGTGCACAGAGTCTTCTACACTGACAATGCACATACTCCTCTACACTGACGGTGCACACAGTTTGCTACATTGAGAGTGCACAGAGTCTTCTACACTGACAATGCACATACTCCTCTACACTGACGGTGCACACAGTTTGCTACATTGAGAGTGCACAGAGTCTTCTACACTGACAATGCACATACTCCTCTACACTGACGGTGCACACAGTTTGCTACATTGAGAGTGCACATAGTCTTCTACACTGACAATGCACATAGTCCTCTACACTGACGGTGCACATAGTTCTTTAGACTGACGGAGTTAAACACAAAGATAATAGTGGCGAGAAAGGAGAATGTCTCTTAAAAAAGCTCCGAATGTCCTACGTTCTACCATACAGACACTTCCTCAGGTTACTGAGGCCTTGCAGCATGCTCCTCGTCTGGCTTTCTTCGTAGAGTACATGAAGGATCTCTTAATTTTATTAATAAAGTATTAAAAACAATTAATAACCAATATAGTTAGGTTCAAACACTCCAGAGAATACGTCAGACTATTAATGAAGGTTGAGCAGTAATTGTCATTGTCATTAATGTAGTCAATTATGTTCTTCAAGTGTGTGGCTGTTAGGACAGCTGCCAGTTCCCCGTCCAGTGAGTGACACATTTGGCGAGCATCTTGGTAGCTAAGCTCGGCGAAGGTGGCGAAGAAGAGGCATTGGTCGCCTACGGTAACGTAAGGTTCCAAACATCCTTGACGGACGATGTTCGCAGCTTCACTATCTTATATCTGTTCCCTGGACTGCTGTACTCTGGACCACTGCTCACCCTCAAATCCGTTCACTGTGAATTATGTATTTGTTCTAGGATAGTGGAGAACTGCAGAAATGTTGATAATCACGCACACTTAACTGTTCTGAAAATAATAACAAGCACCTGACTGTATTAATAACCGAAACCAGAATATAACCGAGAACTCGAGGAAGAGCAGGAAGTAAAGAGAGAGAAGGCGGGGAAGAGGAATAATTAAAAATATTAGGGTTGATGAGTGAACTGGAAAAGCATTGGTAAATAAAGCTAAATACTCTGCACGTGACAAAGTCGAAAGTCACTAAAGAACCAACCAAGAGACTGATAAAGATAATAAGAAAGATGAAAATGAGCTAGATATAATAAAGATGAACATATAAATGGCATAGGATAAAGAGAGGAGAAAGCACACAGGGAAGAAGCTCGGGAAATAGTCTTGCAGATTTTCACATAAACGATCAAGTGAAACAGAATATGTGAAGAGTCTGCAAGAAAACTGATAATGAGAGAGAAGACAATTTAAATGGTAAGACGATGCGTGGAAAAAAGATAAAATTCGATGATTATCTACGACTGTCTGGAAACTGAGAAGGAGCTGGAGGTCCATCATATCAGAGAGAAGACAGGAGGACAAGCAGTAATACAGCACATCATCAATTTTCTGATGATCGGAAGATACTACCGGGACTCACGAAATCGTAATGACACGATTGCAAACAAACCATACCCCGGCCGGGATTGAACCCGCGGTCAGAGAGTCTCAAAACTCCAGCCCGTCGCGTTAGCCACTAGACCAGCTAGCCACAATAAGTTGGACGAATCTTATTGTGGCTAGCTGGTCTAGTGGCTAACGCGACGGGCTGGAGTTTTGAGACTCTCTGACCGCGGGTTCAATCCCGGCCGGGGTATGGTTTATACTACCGGGACAAACTATGTCCAGTCAAACTGGTCCTTGGCTGCCTAGTATCATAAACCAGAATTTTTCAAGTGAAAGCAAACTTAAAAAAAATAGAATAATATTGCCAATTATATCTTGACCGAGACAGAACAGAGAGGTTTTCGAGGTAGTGACTAAAAGAATGTTTAACACAGGAATGAGATCCTGGAAGGATGGTAGAAACAGTGGCAGATTCATCGTAGGGAATTTTTCCCAGTGATACATTTCCTTATATTGCAGGTTTGTCTCCACAGAACGTGTAAGTAACATATATGTGCATTGTGCAGTTACCTAACATGTGATGTGTGTGTGTGTACGTACTGAAATAGCAGGTGTCAATAACATATGCGTAGTTACCCAGCAGGTGTGTATATGCGCATGTGCTTATTGAGTACAGCATGTTCATACAAGAAGCATATACTTACCCAGCAGGTGTGTACATACAAGAGTGAGAGCAACAGGTATCCACATCTTAGGGAAGGTGACCATGTTGTTGTGGTGGGCACAAGACAGAGTCGTCAGCAGCAGTGGACACTTCAATTTTCTCTGACAATAATAAACACCTGAGAACTTCCCACACGGATAAACATGTCACTTGCACCTAGAATATATAAGAACTTCTTCCATAAAGGTGAACTTATCACCTACAGAATATATCACATAACCCTGGATAACAGACTCACCTTGGCAGGACACTTCACACCTGATCGTTAACACTAAAGGTTCAGGCGCATTCTGCGTTGTACAAGAATGGTATATAATGCCGACAAGATGAAATTAAGACCCATGTGCAACATGGGTATCTATCTGTACATAGTTCCACTGTCTTCAAGTTATGTCCTGGAATTTGTATTGATAAAGCCACTGGATGGCGAAACGTCTACAATAAAGATACCCAGATGTTGCACATGTGTCTTAATTTCACCGCATTCTGCGTTGTTGTTAAATCCTTGACAACAACTGTGACGTGTGTACTAATTCCCACGATTATCTGAGTGTTATCACCCTGTGGTTTATGTGAGTTATCTCTCTCCTGCATACTCACATATGCACATACACGCACGCGCGCACACACAGACACAAACACACACACGCACACACACACGAGCACTCACACACACACACACACACACACACACACACACACACACACACACACACACACACACACACACACACACACACACACACACCTGTAACCTGTAACACACACACACCTGTAACTACACACACACACACACACACACACACACACACACACAGGAACTACCAGAAGCAGATAATCGACCTCTACAACCACAAGAAGGTAAACAGGAGTCCTGGAGGGCAGATTAAAATATCACTAGTCTGTGTTGCTGTTTATTCCTTCAATATTCTCAGACATCACAAAGAAAGTTTTCGCAACACCTTGTGAACTCCTCAAGTGTGAGAGCTGCCACACGTCCAGCTGTATGTGTACTGAACAAGTTATTGTGGTCAGCAGCTGCACTAGGGGGTCACCATGGGTCACTAGGGATCACCATGGGTCACCAGGCTCCACCAGCAGCTACCCGGCATACATACACAGTGGGGTCCTCAGCAGGCTACAGGAGGAGTCACGGAAGTAGTGGAAGCCGTCAGCGTTCAACAGAAGACAGTTCTCAGCTGTTCCACCATGTGGCTCTAACACATTTGACTTCACAAAGCCCCAGAACGGTGCCCCTGAGACACATGTAATTAATAGTATTGGTAAATATGTACATTATTCTGTTCATTTAATTATGAAAATATATTAAATAGGTTTTATACTGACAATTAAACTAATTGTTGCTAAAAGACGAATGGAAAATTTTGATCTTACCTGGTAACGTACAGTTATGTAGTCTTAATAACAATTGCTTTTTAAACTCATTAAATGACCTATTTTAACAGAGGAAGTTTGTAGTAAATTTTCTCTTACTATTTTAACAAGAATTAACTATTACATGCAAATACGACAACAGTTGATGAAGCGACGTACCCATTGGGACGGGTTCACCGTAAGTCCACAACCAGACGCCCTCCTGGGCCGCATCGGAGCCTCCCAACCAGAAGGAATGACTAGCGATCCCTGCAATACACAGCAACTGATCAGTGATCTCTGCAATACACAACAAGTGAACAATGATCCTTGCAACACGTAGCAAGGGATCAATAATCTCTGCAACACATAGCAAGTGAACAGTGACCCTGTAACACACAGCAATTGATCAATGATTCCTGCAACACACAGCAAGTGAACAGTGATCCCTGCAACACACAGCAATTGATCAGTGATCCCTGCAACACACAGAAATTGATCAGTGATCCTTGCAATACACAGCAAGTGATCAGTGATCTTTACAACACAGAGCAAGTGATTAGTGATTCCTTCTACAAAATGATCAGAGATCCGTGCAACAAAATGCAAGTGATCAGTGATCCATGCAACATAGTAAAAGTCCAGTGCAGGTAAAAGTATATACACTAGTCTTACCTTCCTGGTGCAGGTACAGGTATATAGCTCTCAGTTGTGCCTTCCTGGTGCTGGTAGAGGTATATACACTAGTCTTACCTTCCTGGTCCTGGTAGAGGTATATACACTAGTCTTACCTTCCTGGTCCTGGTAGAGGTATATACAGTACTCTTACCTTCCTGGTGCAGATAGAGGTATATACACTAGTCTTACCTTCCTGGTGCAGGTACAGGTATATAGCTCTCAGTTGTTCAATGTCAGTAACAGCAGCCAGCTCCCCTGACATGCCATGACAAGCCTGACGTGACTCCTCCCACGACTCTTCCACCCACGTCATAAAGGAGAGACAGAGGCCGCCCACACTCACGAAGAAGGAGGGACAGTCCTGCACCTCTGGCACTGCTGCTACCGCTGCCACGTTGAAGTGTCATATAAGAATATACATAAGATGACTTTACTCTTTTTGTTACACGTACAACATTTTTTCATATATATATATATATATGTCACGATCATTGACTATTAATAAAATGACTCATAAAATAATAATTACTTGCAGTATCTTGTGGTGGTTGTTCACATATTAGCGAAAAGAGACTAGAGCAGTCTTTATCATTCATGTAAAATAAATATTCATAGTTCATTTCCAAGCAATTTTCATCATGGTTAACGTTATTTGGCTCCTGAAATTCTAAATCCGCCTTCCAGAATGGTGTTCCCATGGGTATAGACAGACCCGAGGAAGTGCGCCAGTCCCCCTCACTGTCTTGGTCACTCCCGTCAATCCAGTATATTCTTCCAGACAGACCTGAGGTGGTACATAGAACTGTGACTGTCATGTCTTCACTATCTACGTATTACCATAGCATAAATATGTACTTTTGTCAAGAATTTCCTATTATTTATGTTAATTTCTTCCTTTACAACTTCCATAATTTTACATTTATATTTTAAATCAAACACCAGAAACAAATTAGGTGCTGTAAGTTCCTATAATCCCACAAAGAAAAAAATAGGTTTATCTAATCACCTAGTTGAAGTTGTCTCCCTGGAAGTACTTACCTTGGGAGGTCACACACTAACGTCAGCGCCTCTGCCACTTCTCGAAACATTTCTGGAGCTCTTCTTTCGTGACGGAATTTAGCACGGTCTGTGATTATGTTTGAATCTTCTCCATACAGTTAAAACTCTTCTCCTTGAGAGCCATTTTTATTTTTGGGAAGAGAAAGAAGTCACAGATGTTAGATCTGGGGAGTTGGGAGGGTGAGAGATGACTACCATGTTGTGTGATGGTCTTTGTGGTCTTGAGACGACCAGTAAGAAATTTCCACAGCACTTGCAATGTCCTGGTAACTCTGACGACGTTCTTCGTGAATAACCCTCTTTATTTTTTTTCAATGTTGATGCTTGGTTATGTTGATGGACAACCACAACATTCATCATCTTCAACTAACGTTCCTCCTCCTCTGAATCGAGAAAATTCGTTCAAAACAATGAGTCCGACCCATCGCTTAGTCAACAAAAGCTTGTTGACTAAGCTATTGCAACCATCTTAAAACAGAATTTTACACACATTCTGTTTTTTTTTATTTTAAGATTCCATTCTGTTACATAAAAAAATCAAAACAACGCACTGAGCAGAAGACAAAAAATGCCCACTAAAATTTCAACGGAATGACGACCGCACAGAAACTCGCTACGCTGCTTCACAAAGGAGTGTATTGTGCAACCCGATCTACGGCGCTGGCAAATTTCACTCAGGAAACGAGCGAGAATTTGAGCACGGGAACGTTTTGATAAAACCTCGTATTCTGATGTTGTATAAATAGATAAAAAATTCAAATACATCTTTATTTTGAAATTAAGAGTACATATAGTTAGCTGCTGGGTCTGACGTTGACCAGTCGTTTGGGTCTGACGTTGACCAGTCGTCTGAGTCTGACGTTGACAAGTCGTCTGAGTCTGACGTTGACCAGCCGTCTGAGTCTGACGTTGACCAGTCGTCTGAGTCTGACGTTGACCAGTCGTCTGGGTCTGACGTTGACCAGCCGTCTGAGTCTGACGTTGACCAGTCGTCTGAGTCTGACGTTGACCAGCCGTCTGAGTCTGACGTTGACCAGTCGTCTGAGTCTGACGTTGACCAGTCGTCTGGGTCTGACGTGACCAGCCGTCTGAGTCTGACGTTGACCAGTCGTCTGAGTCTGCGTTGACCAGCCGTCTGAGTCTGACGTTGACCAGTCGTCTGGGTCTGACGTTGACCAGTCGTCTGGGTCTGACGTTGACCAGTCGTCTGAGTCTGACGTTGACCAGTCGTCGGGTCTGACGTTGACAAGTCGTCTGGGTCTGACGTTGACCAGTCGTCTGAGTCTGACGTTGACCAGTCGTCTGGGTCTGACGTTGACCAGCCGTCCGAGTCTGACGTTGACCAGTCGTCTGGGTCTGACGTTGACCAGTCGTCTGGGTCTGACGTTGACCAGTCGTCTGAGTCTGACGTTGACCAGTCGTCTGGGTCTGACGTTGACAAGTCGTCTGGGTCTGACGTTGACCAGTCGTTTGGGTCTGACGTTGACAAGTCGTCTGGGTCTGACGTTGACCAGTCGTTTGGGTCTGACGTTGACAAGTCGTCTGGGTCTGACGTTGACCAGTCGTCTGAGTCTGACGTTGACCAGTCGTCTGGGTCTGACGTTGACCAGTCGTCTGAGTCTGACGTTGACCAGTCGTCTGAGTCTGACGTTGTCCAGTCGTCTGGGTCTGGCGTTGACCAGTCGTCTGGGTCTGACGTTGACCAGTCGTCTGGGTCTGACGTTGACCAGTCGTCTGGGTCTGACGTTGACCAGTCGTCTGAGTCTGACGTTGACCAGTCGTCTGGGTTTGACATTGGCCAATGGTCTGGGTGTGATGCTGACCAGTGGTCTGGGTGTGACGCTGACCAGTGGTCTGGGTGTGACGCTGACCAGTGGTCTGGGTGTGACGCTGACCAGTGGTCTGGGTGTGACGCTGACAGTGGTCTGGGTGTGACGCTGACCAGTGGTCTGGGTGTGACGCTGACCAGTGGTCTGGGTGTGACGCTGACAGTGGTCTGGGTGCGACGCTGAAACCCGTGGTCTGGGTGTGACGCTGACAGTGGTCTGGGTGTGACGCTGACCAGTGGTCTGGGTGTGACGCTGACCAGTGGTCTGGGTGTGACGCTGACCAGTGGTCTGGGTGTGACGCTGACCAGTGGTCCAGCCAGTACATTATTGTAATAACAATGGCATTTATTGCCTTCACTTATTATTTATGGAATATTAGAATTATTCAAGAAGAATTTCCTCTGTCATGTCAGTTATTATTTATGGAATATTAGAATTATTCAAGAAGAATTTCCTCTGTCATGTCAGTTATTATTTATGGAATATTAGAATTATTCAAGAAGAATTTCCTCTGTCATGTCAGTTATTGTTTATGGAATATTAGAATTATTCAAGAAGAATTTCCTCTGTCATGTCAGTTATTATTTATGGAATATTAGAATTATTCAAGAAGAATTTCCTCTGTCATGTCAGTTATTATTTATGGAATATTAGAATTATTCAAGAAGAATTTCCTCTGTCATGTCAGTTATTATTTATGGAATATTAGAATTATTCAAGAAGAATTTCCTCTGACATGTCAGTTATTATTATGGAATATAGAATTATTCAAGAAGAATTTCCTGCCCATGTCACTTATTATTATGGAATATTAGAATTATTCAAGAAGAATTTCCTCTGTCATGTCAGTTATTATTTATGGAATATTAGAATTATTCAAGAAGAATTTCCTCTGTCATGTCAGTTATTATTTATGGAATATTAGAATTATTCAAGAAGAATTTCCTCTGTCATGTCAGTTATTATTTATGGAATATTAGAATTATTCAAGAAGAATTTCCTCTGTCATGTCAGTTATTATTTATGGAATATTAGAATTATTCAAGAAGAATTTCCTCTGTCATGTCAGTTATTATTTATGGAATATTAGAATTATTCAAGAAGAATTTCCTCTGTCATGTCAGTTATTATTTATGGAATATTAGAATTATTCAAGAAGAATTTCCTCTGTCATGTCACTTATTATTTATGGAATATTAGAATTATTCAAGAAGAATTTCCTCTGTCATGTCAGTTTATTATTTATGGAATATTAGAATTATTCAAGAAGAATTTCCTCTGTCATGTCAGTTATTATTTATGGAATATTAGAATTATTCAAGAAGAATTTCCTCTGTCATGTCAGTTATTATTTATGGAATATTAGAATTATTCAAGAAGAATTTCCTCTGTCATGTCAGTTATTATTTATGGAATATTAGAATTATTCAAGAAGAATTTCCTCTGTCATGTCAGTTATTATTTATGGAATATTAGAATTATTCAAGAAGAATTTCCTCTGTCATGTCAGTTAGAAGTTCATGTTAAGCAAATTAAATAATTAAAATTTAAAAGTTGCTGTAAATAAGTAGAATAATAATTATATCTGATATAATAATAATTATATCTGCTATAATAATAATTATATCTGCTATAATAATAATTATATCTGTTATAATAATAATTATATCTGCTATAACAATTATATCTATTATAATAATTATATCTGCTATAATAATTATATCCGTTATAATAATAATTATATTTCCTAAAATAATAATTATATCACTTATAATAATTATTAAAAAATTATCATTTTAACTTTTTTCCATCTTTAATATTTTACATTAATATTTTAAATGACGTCATCGTCATCAAGTTAATTAGGACCACTGAACACTGTCAGTGTAGACAGTTCTCTACACTGACAGTACACACTGTCCTCTACACTGACAGTACACACAGTTCTCTACACTGACAGTACACACAGTTCTCTACACTGACAGTACACACAGTTCTCTACACTGACAGTACACACAGTTCTCTACACTGACAGTACACACAGTTCTCTACACTGACAGTACACACAGTTCTTACACTGACAGTACACACAGTCCACTACACTGACAGTACACACAGTCCTCTACACTGACAGTACACACAGTTCTCTACACTGACAGTACACACAGTTCTCTACACTGACAGTACACACAGTTCTCTACACTGACAGTACACACAGTCCACTACACTGACAGTACACACAGTCCTCTACACTGACAGTACACACAGTTCTCTACACTGACAGTACACACAGTTCTCTACACTGACAGTACACACAGTCCACTACACTGACAGTACACACAGTTCTCTACACTGACAGTACACACAGTCCTCTACACTGACAGTACACACAGTCCACTATACTGACAGTACACACAGTCCTCTACACTGACAGTACACACAGCCCTCTACACTGACAGTACACACAGTCCACTACACTGACAGTACACACAGTTCTCTAGACTGACAGTACACACAGTTCTCTACACTGACAGTACACACAGTCCTCTACACTGACAGTACACACATTCCACTACAATGACAGTACACACAGTCCTCTACAATGAGAGTACACACAGTCCTCTACAATGACAGTACACACATTCCTCTACAATGACAGTACACACAGTCCTCTACACTGACAGTACACACAGTCCTCTACAATGACAGTACACACATTCCTCTACAATGACAGTACACACAGTCCTCTACACTGACAGTACACACAGTCCTCTAAAATGACAGTACACACAGTCCTCCACACTGACAGTACACACAGTCCTCTACACTGACAGTACACACAGTCCTCTACAATGACAGTACACACAGTCCTCTACAATGACAGTACACACAGTCCTCTACAATGACAGTACACACATTCCTCTACAATGACAGTACACACAGTCCTCTACACTGACAGTACACACAGTCCTCTACAATGACAGTACACACAGTCCTCTACACTGACAGTACACACAGTCCTTTATACTGACAGCACACACAGTCCTCTACACTGACAGTACACACAGTCCTCTATACTGACAGCACACACAGTCCTCTACACTGACAGCACAAACAGTCCTCTACACTGACAGTACACACAGTCCTCTACAATGACAGTACACACAGTCCTCTACACTGAGAGCACACACAGTCCTCTACACTGACAGCACAAACAGTCCTCTACACTGACAGTACACACAGTCCTCTATACTGACAGCACACACAGTTCTCTACACTGACAGTACACACAGTCCTCTTTACTGACAGTACACACAGTCCTCTACACTGACAGTACACACAGTCCTCTTTACTGACAGCACACACAGTTCTCTACACTGACAGTACACACAGTCCTCTTTACTGACAGTACACACAGTCCACTACAATGACAGTACACACAGTCCTCTACAATGACAGTACACACAGTCCTCTACACTAACAGTGCACACAGTCCTCTAAAATGACAGTACACAGAGTCCGCTACACTGACAGTACACAGTGTCCTCTACAATGACAGTACACACAGTCCTCTACAATGACAGTACACACAGTCCTCTACAATGACAGTACACACAGTCCTCTACAATGACAGTACACACAGTCCTCTACAATGACAGTACACACAGTCCTCTATACTGACAGTACACACAGTCCTCTACACTGACAGTACACACAGTCCTCTATACTGACAGTACACACAGTCCTCTACAATGACAGTACACACAGTCCTGTATACTGACAGTACACACAGTCCTCTACACTGACAGTACACACAGTACTCTACAATGACAGTACACACAGTCCTCTACACTGACAGCACACACAGTCCTCTGTACTGACAGTACACACAGTCCTCTACAATGACAGTACACACAGTCCTCTACACTGACAGCACACACAATCCTCTATACTGACAGTACACACAGTCCTCTATACTGACAGTACACATAGTCCTCTATACTGACAGTACACACAGTCCTCTACACTGACAGTACAAACACTCCTCTACACTGAGAGTACACACAGTCTTCAATACTGGCAGTACACACAGTCCTCTGCACTGACAGTACACACAGTCCTCTACACTGACAGTACAAACACTCCTCTACACTGAGAGTACACACAGTCTTCAATACTGACAGTACACACAGTCCTCTGCACTGACAGTACACACAGTGTTCAATACTGACAGTACACACAGTTCTCTACATTGAGAGTACACACAGTCCTCTACACTGACAGCACACACAGTCCTCTATTCTGACAGTACACAGTCATCTATACTGACAGCACACACAGTCCTCTATACTGACAGTACATACAGTCCTCTATACTGACAGTACACACAGTCCTCTACACTGAGAGTACACACAGTTCTCTATACGGAGAGTACACACAGTCCTCTATACTGACAGTACACACAGTCCTCTGCACTGACAATACACACAGTCGTCTACACTGAGAGTACACAGTTCTCTACACTGAGAGTACACTAAGTCCTCTACACTGACAGTACACACAGTCCTATACACTGACAGCAAACACAGTCCTCTATACTGACAGTACACACAGTCCTCTACACTGACAGTACAAACAGTCCTCTACACTGACAGTACACACAGTCCTCTACACTGACAGTACACACAGTCCTCTACACTGACAGTTCACACAGTCCTCTATAATGACGGAACACACAGTCCTCTATACTGACAGTACACACAGTCCTCTACACTGACAGTACACACAGTCCTCAATACTGACAGGTACTCACAGTCTTCTAAACCGATAGTACACAGTCCTCAATACTGAGAGTACACACAGCTCTCTAAACTGACAGCACACACAGTCATCAATACTGACAGTACACACAGTCCTCAATACTGACAGTACACACAGTCCTCTACACTGACAGTACACACAGTCCTCAATACTGAGAGTTCACACAGTCCTCAAAACTGACAGTACACACAGTGCTCTACACTGACCGTAAACACAGTCCTCTATACTGACAGTACACACAGTCCTCAATACTGACGGTACACACAGTCCTCTACACTGACAGCACACACAGTCCTCTATACTGACAGCACATACAGTCCTCAATACTGACAGTACACACAGTCCCTAATACTGACAGTACACACAGTCATCAATACTGACAGTACACACAGCTCTCTACACTGACAGTACACACAGTCCTCTACACTGACAGCACACACAGTTCTCAATACTGACAGTACACACAGTCCTCTACAATGACAGTATACACAGTCCTCTATACTGACAGCACATACAGTCCTCATTACTGAAAATACACACAGTCCTTAATACTGACAGTACACACAGTTTTCTACACTGACAGTACACACAGTCCTCAATACTGACAGCACACACAGTCTTTTACAGTGACAGTACACACAATCCTCAATACTGACAGTACACACAGTCCTCAATACTGACAGCACAAACAGTCCTCAGTACTGATAGTACACAGCCCTCAACATTGACTGTGCATATAGTCCTCTACTAACAGCGCATACAGCTCACCGCTTTCTAAACTGACAGTGCATACAGTCTTCTACAATGCCAGTGCACACAGTTTTCTACACTGACAATTCACATAGTCCTCGACACTGACAGTGCACACGGTCCTCTACACTGACAGTGCACATAGTACTCTACACTGGCGGTGCACACAGTCTGCTACACTGACAGTGCTAGAAAGGAGTATCTCTCTTAAAAATCGTTGAATGTCCTACGTTCTACCATACAGACACTTTCTCAGGTTACTGAGGCCTTCCAGCATCCTCCTCTTCTGGCTTTCTTCTTAAAAGACATGAATGATCTCTTAATATTAATAATAATGTATTAAAAAAGTAATAACTAGTGAAGCAGGTTCACACACACCATTGAACAAATCTGTTAATGAAGAATAAAACTTTTAATGAAGATTATTAAGGAAGCAGTAATTACCATTTTCATTAATGTAGTCTATGATGTTCTTCAAGCGTGTGGCTGTCAGGACAGCTGCCAGTTCCCCGTCCAGTGAGTGACACATCTGGCGAGCATCTTCGTAGTTAATCTCGGCGAAGGTGGCGAAGAAGAGGCATTGGTCGCCCACGGCAACGTAAGGTTCCAAACATCCTTGACGGACGATGTTCGCAGCTTCACTATCTTCTATCTGTTCCCTGAGCTGCTGTACCCAGGACCACTGCTCACTCGCAAATCCGTTCACTGTTAATGATGTACTTGTTCTAGGATAGTGGAAAACTGCAGAAAGTTTGATAATCACGCACACTTAACTTTTTTGAAAATAATAACAAGCACCTGACTGTATTAATAACCGAAATCAGAATATAACCGAGAATTCGAGGAAGAGCAGCCACGAGGGAAGTAAAGAGAGAGAACTCGGGGAAGAGGAATAATTGAAAATAATAGGGTTGATGAGTGAACTGGAAAAGCATTGGTAAATAAAGCTAAATACTCTGCACGTGAAAAGGACGAAAATCAATAAAGAACCAACCAAGAGACTGATAAAGATAATAAGAAAGATGAAAAGGAGCTAGATATAATAAATGGCATAGGATAAAGAGAGGAGAAAGCACACAGGGAAGAAGCTCGGGAAATAGTCTTGCAGATTTTCACATAAACGATCAAGTGAAACAGAATATGTGAAGAGTCTGCAAGAAAACTGAAAATGAGAGAGAAGACAATTTAAATGGTAAGACGATGCGTGGAAAAAAGATAAAATTCCATGATTATCTACGACTGTCTAGAAACTGAGAATGAGCTGGAGGTCCATCATATCAGAGAGAAGACAGGAGGACAAGCAGTAATACAGCACATTATCAATTTTCTGATGATCGGAATTTACTACCGGGACAAATTATGTCCAGTCAAACTGGTCCTTGGCTGCCTATTATCATAAAACAGAATTTTTCAAGTTAAAGCAAATTATATCTTGACCGAGACAGAACAGAGAAGTTCTTGAGGTAGTGACTAAAAGAATGACTAACACAGGAATGAGATCCTGGAAGGATGAAACAGTGGCAGATTCATCGTAGGGAATTTTTCCCAGTGATAAATTTCCTTATGTTGCAGGTTTGTCTCCACAGAACGTGCAAGTAACATATATGTGCATTGTGCAGTTACCTAACATGTGATGTGTATGTGTGTACGTACTGAAATAGCAGGTGTCAATAACACATGCGTAGTTACCCAGCAGGTGTGTATATGCGCATGTACTTACTGAGTACAGCATGTTCATACAAGAAGCATATACTTACCCAGCAGGTGTGTACATACAAGAGTGAGAGCAACAGGTATCCACATCTTAGGGAAGGTGACCATGTTGTTGTGGTGGGCACAAGACAGAGTCGTCAGCAGCAGTGGACACTTCAACTTTCTCTGACAATAATAAACACCTGAGAACTTCCCACACAGATAAACATGTCACTTTCACCTAGAATATATAAGAACTTCTTCCATAAAGGTGAACTTATCACCTACAGAATATATCACATAACCCTGGATAACAGACTCACCTTGGCAGGACACTTCACACCTGAACGTTAACACTAAAGGTCCAGGCGCATTCTGCGTTGTACAAGAATGGTATATAATGCCGACAAGATGAAATTAAGACCCATGTGCAACATGGGTATCTTTCTGTACAAAGTTCCACTGTCTTCAAGTTATGTCCTGGAATTTGTATTGATAAAGTCACTGGATGGCGAAACGTCTACAATAAAGATACCCAGATGTTGCACATGTGTCTTAATTTCACTGCATTCTGCGTTGTTGTTAAATCCATGACAATAACTGTGACGTGTGTACTAATTTCCACGATTATCTGAGTGTTATCACCCTGTGGTTTATGTGAGTTATCTCTCTCCTGCATACTCACATATGCACATACACGCACGCGCGCACACACAGACACAAACACACACACACACACACACACACACACACACACACACACACACACACACACACACACACACACACACACACACACACACCACACACACACACACACACACACCACACACACACACACACACACACACAACCCCACACACACACACACACACACACACACACACACACACCACACACACAACACACACACACACACACACACACACACACACACACACACACACACACCACAACACACACCACACAACACACACACACACACACACACACACACACACACACACACACACACACACACACACACACACACACACACACACACACACAACACACACACACACACAAACACAACACACACAACCAACACACACACACACACACACAGCACACACACACACACACACACACACACACACACACACACACACAACACACACACACACACACACACACACACACCACACACACAAACACCACACCACACACACACACACACACGACACACACACACCACACACACACACACACACACACACACACACACACACACACACACACACAACAAACCACACACAACAACAACACACACACAACGACATGACCCAGCTGAAATTTTCGGACAATAGGGGGGTTTGTAAACAAAGAACCGGACATGAAAGTGACCTTCAAGCAGAATCGACTCGGAACAGATCCTGCAGGAGAAAGCACGGTTAAGGGACATGCCGCATACAGGAAGGGTATCTCGACCGCGACAGAACACAAGAAGAAGGCGAAACTGAGAGAGATGGTACAAAGCGAAAGGAGGAAAGAGAGGGATGGAGAAGACAGACAGGAGATCCAGACACAGGAAGAACAAATACAGCCTCCTCACAACTTCCTATAGAAGCCTCCCAACCAGGTCAACCCAGTGCAACCAAACACTCAAATCAAAACACCCATGCCACATCCAATGCCCCCACCCACTACACTACAAACTCCACCCCCACAGCAACCACCCATAGATCCTTATCAGGTCTCCCACTTCCCCAACCCCAATACACCTCCCAGACCACAGTCTTAGAAAAGAATTTGAAGGTGTGGTATACAAATGCAGATGGAATAACAAATAAGTATGAGGAGTGGCACAAAAGAATCAAGGAGACATCCCCAGACATAATAGCACTCACAGAAACAAAACTCACCAGAATAATAACAGATTCAATCTTTCCATCCGTATATCAAATCCTCAGGAAAGACAGAGGGAGGAGAGGGGGAGGAGGAGTTGCACTGCTCATTAAAAACCAGTGGGGTTTTGAGAAAATGGAAGGAATGGATGGCACGGGCGAAAGGGACTACTTAGTAGGAACAATCCAGTCTGAGGGACATAAGGTGATAATTGCAGTAATGTACAACCCGCCACAGAACTGCAGGAGGCCAAGAGAAGAATACGATGAGAGCAACAGAGCAATGGTCGACACACTAGCCGAGGTGGCCAGGAGAGCACACATGGGGGGAGCAAAGTTACTAGTTATGGGTGATTTCAATCACAAGGAGATTGGCTGGGAAAATCTGGAGCCCCATGGGGGTCCCGAAACATGGAGAGCCAAGATGATGGATGTGGTACTGGAAAACCTCATGCATCAACATGTTAGAGACACTACCAGAGAGAGAGGAGAGGATGAACCAGCTAGACTGGACCTTGTATTCACCTTGAGTTGTTCGGACATCGAGGATATCATGTATGAAAGGCCCCTGGGAGCTAGTGATCATGTGGTTCTGTGCTTCGACTACATAGTTGAGCTCCAAGTGGAGAGAGTAGCAGGAATAGGGTGGGAAAAACCAAACTACAAAAGGGGGAACTACCCAGGCATGAGGAACTTCCTTCAAAACATTCAGTGGGAGAGGGAACTGACAGGAAAACCAGTACAAGAAATGATGGACTATGTGGCAACAAAATGCAAGGAGGCAGAGGAGAGGTTTGTTCCCAAGGGAAACAGAAATAATGGGAAGAACAGAAAGAGTCCTTGGTTCACCCAAAGGTGTAGGGAGGCAAAAACTAGGTGTACTAGAGAATGGAAAAGGTACAGAAGACAGAGAACTCAGGAAAATAAAGAGATTAGCCGAAGAGCCAGAAACGAATATGCACATATAAGAAAGGGAGGCTCAGCAACAATATGAAAATGACATAGCATCAAAAGTCAAGACTGACCCGACGCTGTTGTACAGCCATATCAGGAGGAAAACAACAGTCAAGGACCAGGTAATTAGACTGAGGAAGGGTGATGGGGAATTCACAAGAAACGACCGGGAGGTATGTCAGGAGCTCAACACGAGATTTAAAGAAGTATTTACAGTGGAAACCAGTAGGACTCCAGGAAATCAGAACAGGGGGAGGCACCAGCAAGTGCTGGATGAAATACATATAACCAAGGAGGAGGTGAAGAAGCTGCTTTGCGAACTTGACACCTCAAAGGTGGTGGGACCAGACAACATCTCTCCGTGGGTCCTTAAAGAGGGAGCAGAGATATTGTGTGTACCATTAACAAAGATCTTCAACACATCATTTGAAACTGGGCAACTCCCCGAGGTATGGAAGATGGCAAATGTAGTCCCAATTTTTAAAAAGGGAGACAGACATGAGGCACTAAACTACAGACCTGTATCACTAACGTGTATAGTATGCAAGGTCATGGAGAAGATCATCAGGAGGAGAGTGGTGGAGCACCTGGAAAGAAACAAGTGTATAATTGACAACCAGCACGGTTTCAGGGAAGGAAAATCCTGTGTCACAAACCTACTAGAGTTTTGTGATAAGGTGACAGAAGTAAGACAAGAGAGAGAGGGGTGGATTGACTGCATTTTTTTGGACTGCAAGAAGGCCTTCGACACAGTTCCTCACAAGAGGTTACTGCAAAAGCTAGAGGATCAGGCACACATAACAGGAAAGGCACTGCAATGGATCAGAGAATACCTGACAGGGAGGCAACAACGAGTCATGGTACGTGACGAGGCATCAGAGTGGGCGCCTGTGACAAGCGGGGTTCCACAGGGGTCAGTCCTAGGACCTGTGCTGTTCTTGGTATATGCGAAAGACATAACGAAAGGGATAGACTCAGAAGTGTCCTTGTTTGCAGATGATGTGAAGTTAATGAGAAGAATCAAATCGGATGAGGATCAGGCAGGACTACAAAGAGACCTGGACAGGCTACAAGCCTGGTCCAGTAACTGGCTCCTTGAGTTTAACCCTGCCAAATGCAAAGTCATGAAGATTGGGGAAGGGCAAAGAAGACCGCAGACACAATATAGTTTAGATGGCCAAAGACTGCAAACTTCACTCAAGGAAAAAGATCTGGGGGTGAGTATAACATCGAGCATATCTCCTGAGGGGCACATCAATCAGATAACTGCTGCAGCATACGGGCGCCTGGCAAACCTACGGATAGCGTTCCGATACCTCAGCAAGGATTCGTTCAAGACTCTGTATACCATTTACGTCAGGCACATACTGGAGTATGCAGCACCAGTTTGGAATCCACACCTAGTCAAGCACGTCAAGAAATTAGAGAAAGTGCAAAGGTTTGCAACAAGACTAGTCCCAGAGCTACGGGGATTGTCCTGCGAAGAAAGGTTGAGGGAACTCGGCCTGACGACACTGGAGGACAGGAGGGTCAGGGGAGACATGATAACGACATATAAAATACTGCGCGGAATAGACAAGGTGGACAAAGACGGGATGTTCCAGAGATGGGACACAGACACAAGAGGTCACAATTGGAAGTTGAAGACTCAGATGAATCAAAGGGATGTTAGAAAGTATTTCTTCAGTCATAGAGTGGTCAGGCCGTGGAATGGCCTAGAAAGTGAAGTAGTGGAGGCGGGAACCATACATAGTTTTAAGGCGAGGTATGATAAAGCTCATGGGGCAGGAAGAGAGAGGACCTAGTAGCAATCAGTGAAGAGGCGGGGCCAGGAGCTATGACTCGACCCCTGCAACCACAAATAGGTGAGTACAAATAGGTGAGTACACACACACACACACAAACACACACTAACACACACGCGCACACACACACACACACACAAACACACAAACACACACACACACACACACACACACACACACACACACACACACACACACGCTAGGGGCCAGGAGCTAAGACTCGACCGCTGCAACCACAAATAGGTGAGTACACACACACATACACCCGCATAACACACACACACACACACGAACACACACACACACACACACACACACACACACACACACACACACACACACAAAACACACACACACACAAACACACAACACAACACACAAACACTCACACACACACACACACACGCACAAACACACACACACATACACACACAAACAAACAAACAAACAAACAAACAAACACACACGAACACAGGAACTGCCAGAAGCAGTGAATTGACCCCTACAACCACATATAAGTAGGTATACATGGGTCCTTTAGGGCAGAATAAAATATTACCAGTTTGTGTTGCTGTTTATTCTTTCAATATTCTCATACATTACAAAGAAAGTTTTCGCAGCATCTTATAAACTCGTCAAGTGTGAGAGCTGCCACACTTCGGCTGTGTTATTGTGGTCAGCAGCTACTGAAGAAATACTCACTGAGGTTATTAGAGGGTCACCATTGGTCACCAGGGATCACCATGAGGCTACTAAGGGTCACCATGGGTCACCAGGCTCCACCAGCAGCTACTGGGCATACATACACAGTGGGGTCCTCAGCAGGCTACAGGAATAGTCACGGAAGTAGTGGAAGCCGTCATAGCTCAACAGAAGACAGTTCTCAGCTCTTCCACCTTGTGGCTCCAACACATATGACTTCACGTAGCCCCAGAACGGTGCCCCTGAGACACATGTAATTAACAATATTGGTACACAAATAACCCGCTCATAAAAGACAGGAGCATACGGCACGTTTCGATCTGATTTGGACCGAAACGTCGTTAATGGCCCAAGCCGGACTGAAACGTCGCCGTAAGCTACTCTGTAGTCATGGTATTGAGCCTTTTTTGTTTTTAACAATATTCGTAATTATGTACATTATTCTGTCCATTTAATTATGAAAATATATTAAATAGACTTTTATACTGACAGTTTAACTAACTGTTGCTAAAAGACGAATTTAATCAAGATTTATTAAGAAAAATAAGTTGTTCTTAACTGTTAACGTACAGTTATGTTGTCTGAATAACAATTGCTTTTTAAACTTATTAAACCATCTATTTTAACAGAGAAAGTTTGTAGTAAGTTTTGACTTAATATTTTAACAAGAATTAACTATGACATGTAAACACGACAACAGTCACTGTTGATGAAGCGACGTACCCATAGGGACGCGTTGACCGTCAGTCCACAACCAGACGCCCTCCTGGGCCGTGTCGGAGCCTCCCAGCCAGAAGGAATGACCAGCGATCCCTGCAACACATAACACGTGAACAGTGATCCCTACAACACACAAGTGATCAGTGATCCCTGCAACACACAAGTGATCAGTGATCCCTGCAACACACAAGTGATCAGTGATCCCTGCAACACACAAGTGATCAGTGATCCCTGCAACACACAAGTGATCAGTGATCCCTGCAACACACAAGTGATCAGTGATCCCTGCAACACACAAGTGATCAGTGATCCCTGCAACACACAAGTGATAAGTGATCCCTGCAACACACAGCAACTGATCAATGATCTCTCAACTCAGAATAATAAAAAAATTCCCACTTCCGACATCGTACTCCACCAATATTCAGAAGTCTAAATCTGCTCACCATAAAGAACATCCATACTTATTCATGTGCCTACTACATACATAGAACACTACACTCAAACATAAACCCTCCACTCAAACTTCTCACCAACCTTAACAGGACACACGACCATAACACAAGACACAGATCTCTTTTTGATGTACCCCGTGTCCATATCACATTGGGTAAAAACTCTATGCACATAAAGGGCCCCAAAATTTGGAATTCATTACCAGAAAATACTAAAGTAACCCGGTCTATATGTCAATTTAAGACTCTTCTCAAAAGCCGCTTACTCACCCTAGACTAAATACTCAATACTCAGTATTTAACTCAACCAAAAAAAAAAAAATCTCCGAATTACCTAAATCTTAAAACTTCAAGACTAGACGCCCAAGTTCATACGTTGACTAATACTACAAGGTGGCATAAATACCTACCGAAAACAGTATGCCCTACACCCAATTGTAACATACTCATACTGTAAACTACTTTCAGCAAATCACATGTTATATTCTCATAATATAATTTAAATATTTACTATTGAAACTATTATACAACTTAAACTATGATAAATTTCTTTAGTATTAAGTAGCAATAAGCCTTTAAAATTTAAAAGTTCCCCCATAATGACAAGGTAGTGAGGTTTCTTGCACTGAATCATTTTGAAAAATACTAATCGACTCACGAAATCGTAATAACGATTGCAAAATAATCTCAATCCTTTTGCAAAGAAAAAAAATTGGTGATTGATTAATTTGATTGATCCCTGTAAAAAAAGGTCTCTAAAACACGTTATCTCTGCAACATGGCCCCTGCAACACGTAGAAGACTAATGCTGGTGGGGGATATGTTAGTTTTACCTTCCTGGTTTGGTAGAGGTTTTCAAAAGTTTCCCTTTCCTGGTGCAGGTAAGGTATATAGCTCTCATTTGTTCAATGTCGAACAGAGCAGCTCCCTGGAACCCATGAAAACCCTGACGTGACTTCCCAGACTCTTCCCCCAGTCATGAAGGAAGCAGAGCCGCCCACACCAAAAGGAGGGACAGTCCTGCACCCTGCATGCTGCTATGCTGCATGTTGTGGTTTTATATACAATAAACAGAGAAAAACTTTCTCTTTTTGTTACATGTAAAATATTTTTTTCTAATAGATCCGATCATTGTTTTTTTTTTAATCGGGATCAAAAAATATAATTCTTGCAGTATCTTGTGGTGGGGTTCACATATTAGCGAAACTAAATAGAGCCCAAACTTTCATGAAAAAAATAATTTTATGTTCTCTCCAAGCAATTTTCATCATTTTTAAGTTTTTTTGGTCGGGTATTCACCCCCGCTTTCCAGAATGGAGTACCCATGGGTAAATAGACGATGAGGAAGTGCGCCGCCCCCTCGAGTTTTGGTCACTCCCGTCAACCCAAAACGTTCTGTCAGTGCCTGAGGTGAACATAAAATGTGACTGTTGTCTCCAATCTCGTATAACCTAGTAATATGTATTTTGGTCATGGTTTTCCCTTTTTAAATTATGAAATTTTTTTTTCCTTCAAGTTCCATAACTTCACATTAATTTTTAAACCCCAAAACAGAAAAAAATTTTGGTTCTAAAAAGTCCTGTAACCCCACAAAAAAAAAATTTGGTTTATCCAACACCTAGCTAAATTTCTCCAGGAAATCTTCCTTGGGGGTCAAACACTGATGCAGGCCTTGCCACTTCTCGAAAATTTTGGAATTTTCTTTCGTGACAAATTTTAGCAGGGTCGTGTTTATGTTTGTTCTCTTCGCGTAGTTAAAAAAACTCCTCTCCTGGGAAAAACCAGTTATTTTTGGGGGAAAGAAAAAGAAGTCAAGATGTTAGATTGGGGAAATTGGGAGGGTGAGAGATGACTCCATGTTGTGTGATGGTCTTTGTGGTCTTGGCAGCCTTGAGACGCCCAGTAAGAAATTTCCTCAGCCCCTGCGTGTCCTGGTAACCTGACGACTTTTCGTGAATCCCCTTCTGCTTTTTTTCAGTTTTTGGTGCTTGGTAATGTTGATGGAAAACCACAACATTCTATCCTCAAAAAACGTTTGTCCCCCTTTAAATCGAGAAAAAATTCATTCAAAACAATGAATCCGAGCCATGCTTAGTAAAACAAAAATTGTTGACAAGCTTTTTGTAACCATCTTAAAACAGAATTTCACAAACACACCGCGTTTTTTTCTTTTAAAGATACATTCTGTTACACAAAAAATCAAAAAAACCCCCTGGCAGCGACAAAAAATGCCCATCTAATATCTACGGAATGACCGACCGACTGAAATGCTACGTGCTTCACAAAGGAGTTTTTATACGAGTGGTCTATGCCGCGGAAAATTTCATAGTAAATGAGCGAAAATTCGGACGGGAACGTTTGATAAAACCTTGTTTTGCTTTTTAAAAATAGAAAAAAATTTCTACTAGATCATTATTTTAAATTTTTAAAGGACATAAAATTGGTTTTGGGTTTCCCTCGGGGCCCCAGTCGTCTTGGTCTGATTTGGCCAGTGTCCTTGGTTGGTTGCCCGTCGTCTTGGTCGGGTTTGGGCCCAGTGTCTTGGTTGACGTTGCCGTGTCTTGGTCTGACTTTGGGCCGTCGTTTGGGGATTTCACTTTTTCCCCGGTTCGGTTTTGGTTGACTTTGGGGTGTCTGGGTTGTTGTTGTGCTTTGGGCCAGCGTCGGGGTTTTTACTTTTGGCAGTCGCTGGGTTAGTTGCCAGTCGTCTGGGTCTGAGTTGACCTTTGTTGGGTTGCGTTACCAGTCGTCTGGGTCTGAGTTGGGATATCTGGTGTCAAAGTTGGCAGGCGTCTGGTTTTTCAACGTTGGCAGATTTTGGTGTCTAACGGGGGCCCATCGTCAGGTCTTACTTTGGCCCTTTGTTTGGGTTTGGTTGGCCATTGTTGGGTCTGACTTTGGGCCCGTTGACGGGGCCTGATGTTGGCAAGTAATCTTTTTGGCAAACGTTGGCCAGTGTCGGTGTCACTTGGCCTGTCTGGGTCTGACGTTGGCCAGTCTCTGGGTCTGCCGTTGGCCGTTTTGGGGAATGCGTTGGCCCATTTGGGGTTTTAACGTTGACAGTCGTCGGGTCTGCGTTAACCAGTCTTTGGGTCTGCATTGGCAGTGGTCTGAGTCTCACGTGACCAGTGGTCCAACGTAAAAGGTCGGGTGTTACCTTCCCCATGAATCAGAGTTTGTGTTGTCGGAGACTTTTTTAAATAACAAGGGGAATTTTGCTTCACTTTAAAAATTAGGGAAAATATCAGAATTTTCAGAAGTTTTCCTGTCATGTCAGTTAGAATTTCTGAAAGCAAATTAAATTTTAAAAATTTTGGTGTTGTTGAAATAAGTGGAATAATTATATCTCTGAAATAATAATTTATTTCTATAATAACAATTATATTTGCTAAAATAATAATTTATCTCAATTTTATAAAAAAAAATTTCATTTAAACTTTTTTCATTTTTAAATATTTTTTATAAAATTTTTAAATGCTACGTCATAAGTATCGTTAATTGTGCATGAACACTGTAGTGCGGGGACAGCCCTCTTTTCTGTAATGTGGGACTTTCTCTACACTGTCAGACCACGTTTCTTATGACTTAACACAGTTCTCCATATGACAGTCATAAGAAAATCATACTGAAGCCCCGTCCCCCCCATTTTCCTCCACTGACAGTCATACAGTCCTTATGACATTTGTGTATGCAAACAGTCTTCTACAGGGACAGTGCCACAGTCTTCCAAAATATCAGTGCAATAGTTTTCTACATTGCAGTGACACAGTATTTACCTAAAATGCACTGCCCTGTCACTGAGGGTGACACATTTCTCATGATGTGACATAGCCCTGTCACTGACGGTGCAACACTCTTTTACATGATAGTGACTAGTCATCTACATGACAGTACACAGGGCCCTGTACACTGACAGTAATTTCCCTCTACTTTTGAACTGCACCTGTCTGCTACACGACAGCCCACACTTTCTCATACGAAAAAATTAAACAAAAAGAAAATGTTGTAAAGAAGATCTTTTCAAAAAAAATCGAATATTCTACGTTCTACCATAAGCATTCCTCGGTTTTATGGGGCCTTGCATGCTCTTCCCTGGCTTTTTTCGTAAAGGACGAAGGGATCATTAAATATAAAATAATGTTTAAAAATAAGTAATAATAGTAAAGTGGGTTTCACACACCCTAAAATAAGTTGTTAATGAAGAATAAGATGTAATGAAGATATTAATGAAGTAGTTTCCCATTGTCTTTTAATGTAGTAAAATATGTTTTAAAAGCGTTGTGGCGTCAGGAAGCTCCCTTTTCCCCGTCCAGGAGTGAACATTTGGCGGCATCTTGTGTTAACTCGGCAAAGGGTGCCAAGAAGAGGCTGGTCCCCCAGGGCACGAAAGGTTCAAACATCCTTGACGGCGATTTTTCGCAGCTTACTATCTTTTTCATTTCCTGGCTGCTTCCCAGGACCACTGTCACCTCAAATCCGTTCAGTTAATGATGTATTGTTTAGGATAGGGGAAAAACTGCAAAAATTTTGATAATCACGCCACCCCCCCAACTTAACGTTCTAAAAATAATAACAAGCCTGTCGCATTAATAATAAACCGAATTAAAAATCGAAAAATCGAGGAGGGGCAGCCACGGGGGAAGTAAAGAGAGAAAAGGGGGAGAAAGGAAAAATTTTGAAAACCTTTGTTGTAAGGAACGGGAAAAAAGCATTGGTAAAAAAAGCTAAATGCTCTGCACGTGAAAAGGCGAAAGCACAAAGCCCAACAAAAATTGATAAAGATAATAGAGAGATAAAAAAGGAGCTGAAAAAATTAAGAGAACCTAAAATGGAAAAGGATAAAGGGGAGAAAGCACACGGGAAAGAAGCTCGGGAAATAGTCTAACGATTTTTTACATAAAAGATCAAATGAAAAAAGAATATGTGAAGGGCTGCAAGAAAATAAAAATGAGAGAGAAGACAATTTAAAAGGTAAGAGAATGCGAGGGAAGAAGACAAATTCCCCTTTTTTTTCGGGCTGTTTTAAAATTTAGAAAGGGGGAGGAGGTCTCATATCAGAGAGAAAACAGGGGGGGACAAGCGTAAACAGGTCATCAAAATTTTTGTGTCGGAAAAATACTACGGGGCAAATTATGTCCCGTCAAATGGTCTTGGCTGCCTAGTTCTTTAAAACAGAAATTTTTAGTTTAAAGCAAATTTTATCTTGACCGAGGGCAGAAAAAAGGTAGTTTTTTGAGGTAGTGGGCTAAAAAAATTTACTAACACAGGATGAGATCTGGGAAAGGGGAAAAAAGGGCAGTTCATCGTGGGGAAATTTTTCCCCTGATATTTCCTTAGTTGCAGTTTTTCTCCACAGAACGTGTAAGTAACTTATGTGCTTTGGCAGTTACTCATGTGATTGTGGTGTGTGTAGTACTCAAAATAGTAGGTGTCAATAACATGTGCTCGTTACAGCAGGTGTCTTGTGGTGTGTATTCTGAGTACGCTTTTTCATACAAGAAGCATATACTTACCCAAAAAGGGGTGTAAAACAGAGGAGAGCAACAGTTACAATCTTAGGGAAGGGACCTTTTTTTTGGGGTTTTGGGGGGGCAAAAACAGAGTCGTCAGCAGCAGGGACACTCTTAACTTTCTCTGACAATAATAAATACCTGAGAACTTCCGCGATAAACTGTAAATTTCCAGAAATATAAGAATTTTTCCCTAAAGGTGAAATTGTAATACAGAAATATCACATAACCCAGGAGAACAGATCACCTTGGCAGAAGAAACCCTTTACACCCTGAACGCATTCTGGAGCTGGGTTTTTGTTAAATCCTGGGCAAAAAACGTGAGTGTGTACTAATTTTCCCCCATTATCTGGTTTATCACCCTGTGGTTTATGTGGGTTATTTCTCCTACACACGCCAATATGATACACCGCACACCCCACAGAAACACACACAACACAAAACACACACACACAAAACAACCACACACACACACACCCCCCACACACACACACACACACACACCACACCCCAGCACACACACACCACACACACTCACACGCACACACACACACACACACGCACAACCAGCCGAGGGTGTCAGAGGGGCACCTGTTTCCAGGGGGTTTTTTACAGGGGTCAGTCCCAGGGCAGTGTTTTTTTCGTTTTTTGTGAACGACCTGACGGAAGGAAAAAGACTCTAGGTGTCCTGTTTCAGATGGTGAAGTTGTTTAGAAGAAAAACCCCGATCGAAAAGGCAAACTCAAAAGGGTTGCGGCTGCGACTGGCAGCAATTGGCCCGGATTCAAACCCCCCAAGTGCAAAATCATGAAGATTGGGAAGGGCAAGAAGACCGCAGCGGGGTCATTAGGGGGCCAGAGACTAAAAAACCCCACTCAAAAAAAAGTCCTGGGGTTTATATAAAACCAGGCCCCTCCCTGAAGGCCTTTAACAAAAAAATGCGCAGCATATGGGGGCCTGCAAACCCCAGAACAGCATTCCGACATTTAAAAAGGAAAAGTTTAGGACCTTACACGTGTCGTTAGGCCCCTATTGGGTATGCGGCACCGTTTGGAACCACACCCCCAAGCACGTAAAGAAACTAGAAAAGTGCAAAGGTTTGCAACAAGATAGTCCCCGAACTAAGAGGTTGTCCCACGAGGAAAGGTTTTAAAGGGGGTCAATCTGACAACACTGGAGGAGGAGAGATGGGGAGACATGATAACGAATAAAAAAACTGAGAGGAATTGACAAGGGGGCAAAGGGAGGTGTTCCCGAGATTTGGGCCGAACAAGGGGCACGTTGGAAAATTGAAGACAAGATGAATCCGGGTGTTAGGAGTATTTTTTTCAGCCAAGGTGTCGAAGGGAATGTTTTGGGAAAGGGTGTGTGGAGGCAGAATCCTACATGCTTTAACGAGGTATGTAAAAATCACGGTTTAGGGGAAAAGGGCTAGTAGCGATAGTGAAGAGGCGGGGCCCGGGCCCGGGCTTTAACCCGCAACCTCAAAAGGGTGAGTACAGGAACTGCCAGAAACGTGAATCGACCCCCACCCCACATATAAGTAGGTACACAGGAGTCCTTGAGGGAGAATAAAAAATTACCAGTTTGTGTTGCTGTTATTCTTTCAAAATTCTCTTTTCATTACAAAGAAAATTTTCGAACACCTTATAAAAATCGTCAGTGTGGAGCTGCCACACTTGGCTGTGTTATTGTGGTCGAGCTATGAAGCATTCATTGAGGTCTTAGGGATACAATGAATCACCAAGGGTCCCAAAGGGGCACCGGGGGGTTCCACCGCAGCTACTGGGGAAAAAATCACAGTGGGTCACAGCAGGCTACAGGGGAGTCAGGAAATAGTGGAAACCCCCAGCGTCAAAGAAGACGTTCTCAGTGTCCACCATTTTGGTCCCAAACATCTAAATTCCCAAAAACCCCCGAACGGTGCCCCTGAGAAATGTAATTTAAAAAATATTTTAATTATGTCCCTTTTTGTCCATTTAAATTTTGAAACTTTTTTAAATGATTTTTTTACTACGTTTAATTAACCCAAAAAAATTGTTGCAAAAGACGAAAAAAAGATTTAAAAAATGATAATAAGTTGTTTTTAAAGGGAACGTACAGTTTGTGTCTTAATAACAATTGTTTTTAAAAATTTCTAAAACCCCAAATTTTTTCAGTGGGTTGAAATAAAATTTGATTGCTATTTTAAAAGAAATTTCTTTGACATTTAAACACGACAAAAAGTATGTTTTGGGTGACGTACCATAGGGGCGCGTTGACCGTCAGCCCAACCAGACGCCCCTGGGGCCCCGGGGCGGAGCCCCCCAGCCGAAGGGAAAAAGACCCCCGATCCCTGCAAAAAAACAGCAAGTGATCCCTGCAAAAACACAATGTCAGTGACCCCGCAAAAACACAGCACTGATAGTGATCCTGCAACCAGAAAAGATAAAAAATTCCCCACCGATCGTACCCACCCAATTTTTCAAAGCTAAATCTCTCACCATAAAAACCCCCCAACTTATTCAGTGCCTACTACATAAAGAACCAAACATCAAAAATAACCTCCCACTAAACTTCTACCAAAACCCTTTAAAAGGAAACGACCTAAACAAGCACAGATTCTTTTTAGTACCCCGTGTCCATATCAATTTGGGGAAAAAAATCTATTCATAAAAGGGGCCCAAAATTTGGAAAATTTTTTCCAGAAAATATAAATAACCCGGGTTTAATTCAAATTTAAGACTTTTTCAAAAACCGCTTATCACCTAGACTAAATATCAATATCAGTATTTAACTTTACCAAAAAAAAAAAAATTCCGAATAAAACCCAAATCTTAAAAAAATTCAAGACTAGGCCAAGTTTCATGTTGATAATACTCAAAGGGGGCATAAATTACCCCAAAATATTGCCCTGACCCCAATTTAAAAATTCTCATTTGTAAATATTTCGCAAATCACAATTCACTTTCAATATAATTTAAAAATTTACTATTGAAACTATTTTACAACTTAAATAGATAAATTTCTTTTGTATTTTAAGTAGTCAGTAAGCCATTAAATTAAGTATGCCCATAATGCCTAGGTATGACAGGCTTTCATTGCACTGCAACTCATTACTGTAAATACATAACTCGACTCACGAAATCGTAATGACACGATTGCAAACATAATCTCAATGCACTACTTGCAAAGAAATAAAATTGAGTGATTGATTATTTGATTGATCCCTGCAACAAAGTGATCTCTGCAACACAGATATCTCTGCAACATAGTGATCCCTGCAACACAGTAGAAGTCCTGATGCTGGTAGAGGTATATGCTCTAGTTTTACCTTCCTGGTTCTGGTAGATGTATATACACAAGTCTTACCTTCCTGGTGCAGGTACAGGTATATAGCTCTCAGTTGTTCAATGTCAGTAACAGCAGCCAGCTCCCCTGACAAGCCATGACAAGCCTGACGTGACTCCTCCCACGACTCTTCCACCCACGTCATGAAGGAGAGACAGAGGCCGCCCACACTCACAAAGGAGGGATAGTCCTGCACCTCTGGCACTGCTGCTACTGCTGTCATGTTGTGGTCTCATATACAAATAAACAGAAGACAACTTTACTCTTTTTGTTACATGTACAATATTTTTTTTCATATATAGATCACGATCATTGACTTCATTAATACGAGGACTCATAAAATAATAATTACTTGCAGTATCTTGTGGTGGTTGTTCACATATTAGCGACAACAGATCAGAGCAGCCAATATCATTCATGAAAAATGAATATTTATTGTTCATCTCCAAGCAATTTTCATAATTTTTAACGTTATTTGGCTCCTGGAATTCAGTATCCGCCTTCCAGAATGGTGTACCCATGGGTATAGACAGACCTGAGGAAGTGCGCCAGTCCCCCTCAGAGTCTTGGTCACTCACGTCAATCCAATACGTTCTGTCAGTCAGACCTGAGGTGGCACATAGAACTGTGACTATCCTGTCTCCACTGTCTACGTATTACCATAGCATAAATATGTACTTTGGTCATGGATTTCCTGTTAATTATGCAATTTTTTCCTTCACAGCTTCCATAATTTTACATTAATATTTTAAACACAATAACAGAAACAAATTAGGTGCTATAAGTTCCTGTAATCCCACAAAAAATATATTTAGGTTTATCCAATCACCTAGTTGAGGTTGTCTCCCTGGAAGTACTTACCTTGGAAGGTCATACACTGATGTCAGCGCCTCTGCCACTTCTCGAAACATTTCTGGAACTCTTCTTTCGTGACGGAATTTAGCAAGATCTGTGATTATACTTGAATCTCCTCAACGTAGTTAAAATTCGTCTCCTTGAGAACCAGTTATATTTTTGGGAAGAGAAAGAAGTCACAGATGTTAGATCTGGGGATTTGGGAGGGTGAGAGATGACTACCATGTTGTGTGATGGTCTTTGTGACGACCAGAAAGAAATTCCTACAGCACTTGCAATGTCCTGGTAACTATGACGACGATCTTCGTGAATAACCTTCATTTTTTCAGTATTGGTGCTTGGTAATGTTGATGGACAACCACAACATTCATCATCCTCAACTAACGTTTGTCCTCCTTTAAATCGAAAAAATTCATTCTAAACAATGAATCCGAGCCATCGCTTAGTCAACAAAAACTTGTTGACTAAGCTATTGTAACCATCTTAAAACAGAATTTCACAAACACACACGCTGTTTTATTTTCATTTGAAGATACTATTCTGTTACACAAAAAAATCAAAACAACGCACTGAGCAGACGACAAAAAATGTCTATCTATTATCAACGGAATGACCGACCGCACTGAAACTAGCTACGCTGCTTCACAAAGGAGTGTACTACGCAGCCTGGTCTATGCCGCCGGCAAATTTCACTCAGTAAATGAGCGAAAATTCGAGCACGGGAACGTTCTGATAGAACCTCGTGTTTTGACATTTTATAAATAGATAAAAATTTCTACTAGATCATTATTTTGAAATTAAGAGCACATATAATTGGCTTCTGGTTCCTACGTTGGCCAGTCGTCTTGGTCTGACGTTGACCAGTCGTCTTGGTCTGACGTTGACCAGTCGTCTGGTGTCTAACGCTTTCAAGTCGTCTGGGTGTGACGTTGGCCAGTGGTCTGGGTGTGATGTTGGCCACTCGTCTGGTGTCTAAAGCTTTCAAGTTGTCTGGGTGTGACGTTGACCAGTGGTCTGGGTGTGACGTTGGCCAGTCGTCTGGTGTCTAACGCTTCAAGTCGTCTGGGTGTGACGTTGGCCAGTGGTCTGGGTGTGACGTTGGCCAGTGGTCTGGGTGTGACGCTGACCAGTGGTCCAGCCAGTACAAGGTCGGGTGTTACCTTCACCATGAATCAGAGTTTGTGTTGTCTGACACGTTATTGTAATAACAATGGGAATTATTGCCTTCACTTATTATTTATGGAATATTAGAATTCTTCAAGAAGAATTTCCTGTCATGTCAGTTAGAAGTTCATGTTAAGCAAATTAAATAATTAAAATTTGGATGTTGTTGTAAATAAGTGGAATAATTATATCTACTGTAATAATCATATCTGCTATAATAACAACTATATTTGCTATAATAATAATTATATCTGCAATAATAATTATCAAAAAAATTTCATTTGAACTTTTTTCATATTTAATATTTTTCATAAATATTTTAAATGACGTCATCGTCATCAAGCTATCAGTTAATTAGTGCCACTGAACACTGTCAGTGCAGACAGTCCTCTATACTGTCAGTGTAGATATTTCTCTACACTGTCAGAGCACAGTCTTCTATACTGACAGTACACACAGTTCTCTATACTGACAGTCCATACAGTAATCTATACTGACAGCACATACAGTCCTCCACTGACAGTACATACAGTCCTCTAATGACAGTGTGTACTGCAAACAGTCTTCTACACTGACAGTGCACACAGTCTTCCACACTGACAATGCACATAGTCCTGTACACTGACGGTGCACACACTCTTCTACACTGATAGTGCACATAGTCCTGTACACTGACGGTGCACACACTCTTCTACACTGATAGTGCACATAGTCATCTACACTGACAGTACACACGGTCCTGTACACTGACAGTACACATATTCCTCTACATTGAACATGCACACTGTCTGCTACACCGACAGTCCACACAGTTCTCTATACTGAAAAGAATTAAACACAAAGATAATAGTTGCTATAAAGAAGTATCTTTCTCAAAAAAACTCTGAATATTCTACGTTCTACCATACAGACACTTCCTAGGTTACTGAGGCCTTCCAGCATGCTCTTCCTCTGGCTTTCTTCGTAAAGGACATGAAGGATCACTTAATATTATTAATAATGTATTAAAAATAAGGAGAACAGACTCCTCTTGGCAGAAGAACACTTCCCACCACCTGAACGCATTCTGGAGCTGCGTTGTTGTTAAATCCATGACAACAACTGTGACGTGTGTACTAATTTCCACGATTATCTGAGTGTTATCACTCTGTGGTTTATGTGGGTTATCTCTCTCCTACACATGCACATATGCATACACGCGCACACGCGCTCACAGAAACACACACACACACACACACACACACACACACACTCACACACACACACACACACACACACACACACACACACACACACACACACACACACACACACACACACACACACACACACACACTCACACACACACACACACACACACACACACACACACACACACACACACACACACACACACACTCACACACACACACACACACCACACACACACACACACACACACACACACACACACACACACACACACACACCACACACACACACACACACACACACACACACTCACACGCACACACACGCACACAGGAACTGCCAGAAGCAGTGAATCGACCCCTACACCCACATATAAGTAGGTACACAGGAGTCCTTGAGGGCAGAATAAAATATTACCAGTTTGTGTTGCTGTATATTCTTTCAATATTCTCATATTTTACAAAAAAATTTTTCCCAACACCTTAAAACCGTCAATGGAGAGCTGCCACACTTCGCTGTGTTTTTGGGGCCCAAAGGCTATGAAGACATACTCTGAGGCCTTTAAAGGGGATACAATGAGTCACCAAAGGGGTCCCCAAAGGGAAAACCAAAGGCACCAGGTTCCACCAGCACACGGGGGAAAGATACACAGGGGGGTCCTCAGCAGGCACAGGGGGGGTCACGGAAAGGGGAAGCCGTCAGCGAAAAACAAAAGACAGTTCTCAGCTGCTCCACCACGGGCCCAACACATCAACTTCCCAAAGCCCCAGACGGTGCCCCGAAACAAGTAATTAAAAAATTTTTGGTAATTATGTACATTATTCTGTCCATTTAATTATAAACTTTATTAAAACGATTTTTATACTCACATTTAAATTAACCAGAAAATTGTTGCTAAAAACGAAAGGAAACAAGTTTTAAAAAAAAAGTAAAATTGTTTTTAAATTTTGGTAACGTACATTTGTAGTCTTAATAACAATTCTTTTTAAAACTTACTAAACCACTATTTTTATCAGTAAAATTTGAAGTAAATTCTGACTTTTATTTTAACAAAAAATTAACTATGCATTTAAACACGACAACAGCACGTTGATAAGTGACGACCCTAGGACCTTGACCGCATCCACAACCAGACGCCCTCCTGGGCCGCGTCGGAGCCCCCAGCCAAAGGAAGACCAGCGCCCCGCAACACACAGCAAGTACCCTGCAAAAACCAAGGATCAGTGACCCCTGCAACACACAGAAACTGACAGGGGACTCTGCAACTCAGAATAAAAAAAAATTTCCCCCTTTCCGAATCTACTCCCCAATATTCAAAAGTCAAACTGCTCACCATAAAGAACATCCTACTTTTTCAGTGCCTACTACATACATAGAACACTACACCAAACAAAAACCCCCACTAAAAACTTCTCACCAACCTTAACGGGATACCACCATAACACAAGCACAGATCTCTTTTGAGTACCCCGGTCCATACACACGTGAAAAAAACTCTTTTCACATAAAGGGCCCCAAAATTTGAATTCATTACCAAAAATACAAAGAAACCCGGGTAGAATATAAATTTAAGACTTTTCTAAAAAGCCGCTTACTCCCCCTAACTAAAATAAATCCCTCATTTTTAAACTTTACCAAAAAAAAAAAAAATCTCCGAAAAACCCAAATCTTAAAACTTCAAACTAGACCCCCCAAGTTCTCAGTTGAAATACACAAGGTGGCATAAAACCTCCCAAAAACAGTTTTTGCCCTGCCCCCAAATTTGTAACATTTCCTTTCGAAAAAAATTTCAGCAAATCACAATATAACATTCTCAAAATTAATTTAAATTTTTTACTATGAAACTTTTGTAAACTAAACTATGAAAATTTCTTTAGTATTAAGTAGTCATAAGCCATTAAATTAATTCCCCAAAATCCCTGGTATGACAGGCTTTTTTTCACCAACCTTTACTGTAAATACAAAAACTCGACTCACAAAATCGAAATGACACGATTGCAAACAAATCTCAATGCAACTTCAAAGAAATAAAATTAATGATTGATTATTTGATTGATCCCGCAAAAAAGTGATCTCTGCAACACAGATTCCGCAACATGTGATCCCTCAACACGTAAATCCTGATGCGGTAGAGGTATATGCCTATTTTTACCTTCCTGGTTCTGGAGATGATAACAAAAGTCTTCCCTTTCCGGGTGCAGGGGCAGGTATAAGCTCTCATTGTTCAAGTCAGTAACAGCAGCCGCTCCCCTGACAAGCCATGACAGCCTGAGTACCCTCCCACACTCTTCCACCCACTCATGAAGGAGAACAGAGGGGCCCCCCACACCCCAAGGAGGGATAGTCCCACCTCTGGCACGCTGCTTGCTCATGTTGTGGTCTCATATACAAAAAACAAAACAACTTTACTCTTTTTTTTTACATTACAATATTTTTTTCATATAAGATCCAATCATTTACTTCATTAATACAGTGACTCAAAAATAATAAATTTTTTGCAGTATTTGTGGGGGTTTTTTCACATATTGCGACAACAGATCAGAGCAGCCAATATCATTCTGAAAAATGAATTTTATTGTTCATTTCCAACAATTTTTTTAATTTTTTAAATTATTTGGGGTCCTGGAATTTAGTATCCGCCCTTTTCCCGAATGTGTACCCAGGGGGATAAAAACCAGGAATGCGCCAGTCCCCCTCAGAGTCTTGGTCACTCACGCAACCAATACTTTTTGTCAGTCAGACCTGAGGGGGCCATAGAACTGTGACTATCCTTCTCCACTGTCACGTATTACCATAGCAAAATAGTACTTTGGTCTGATTTCCTGTTAAAATGCAATTTTTTCCTTTACCTTCCAAATTTTACTTAAAATAAAAACACAATAACAAAACAAATAGGCTAAAAAGTTCCGTTCCCCCAAAAAATTTTTTTAGGTTTATCCAATCACCTATTGAGGTTTTCTCCCTGGGAAAAACTTACCTTAAGGGGCATACACTGATGACGCCTCTGCCACTCTCGAAACATTTCTGGAACCTTCTTTCGTGACGGGAAATTTTGCAAGATCTGTGATTATACTTGAATCTCCTCAAACGATTAAAATTCGCTCCTGAGAACCAGTTAATTTTTGGGAAGAGAAAAAGTCACAGATGTTAGACGGGGGGTTTGGGGTGAAATACTACCCTTTTGTGGATGGTCTTGTGACGACCAGAAAAAAAAATTTCCCACAGCACTTGCAATGTCCTGGGGAACTATGACGACACTCGTGAATAAACCCTTTTTTTTTCAGTATTGGCTTTGGGAAAGTTGTGGACAACCACAAAATTCACACCCAACTAAGTTTGTCCTCCTTTTAAAACGAAAAAATTATTTTAAACAATGAACCGACCATCGCTTTTTCAACAAAAACTTGTTGACTAAGCTATTTTCCCCTCTTAAAAAAGAATTTTTCCCAAAAACACACGCTGTTTTTTTTTTATTGAAAATACATTCTGAACACAAAAAAATCAAAACAACGCACTGAGCAACACAAAAAAAATCTATTAATTTCAAC